TAAACAAAATTTTTAAACACTAAAAAAAAGCAGAAAAGTTAAAAGCTTTGAGGTGATAACAATGCGAGGAAAAAAATTCTTTTTCTTAAATTAAACAGCTAAACAGCTTTTTTTTTTTGTCTTATTAAAAAGAGTATATTCTTCATTTAGGTTTAAAAGTGATCGAAAATCCACACTGTCCACTTCCGGAAAAAATTTATATACATTGTGGACGTAATAAGGGAACCAAATGGTGCACTGATGATAGTAGTTGTCGTCCAAAAAATTCTGACGAAGATGAAGAATTTCCAAGATTCTGTTGTCCAACTGTATGCAACTATAATGTTTGTGTTGTTAAATTTGGTCGACGATTTATTGTTGTATAGGCATTAAATTTTTGTTGACACTAATTTAAAAAAAAAAAAACATATTTCGGACGACGTATTACCTCAACAAAGTCGTTAATTGTTTTTTTTTTCCTCCTTCTCCTCCTCATTATTTGTTTCTTACTTAATGTATTTCCCCAGCAATGATGTCATCAGATGTCATCAAAGTTAGTATTTTTTTTTTTTTTTTTGCATAAAATGTTAAGCATAATTTTTACCTTTATTGTTGAACTTTTTGTTTAATTTTTAATTAAACTTTATCAATCAATGTGTGAATGTGTGAATGTGTGTGTGGGTTACTGTGTTTGTATGTGCTGACAATAAAACTGCATGACATTTCAGCGAAAAAAAAAAAAAAAGAAAAATAACTATATTTTTTTCAAAAGTAAAATTGTTGATTATATAATTATGTTGTTTTATTACTTCAAACAACAGATCTTTGAATGAACTATGAAACCAATTTTTTATACAACAATGTGTTATGAAGATTTAAAAAACATTTAAGAAACAAAAAAAAACTGAATAAAACGCAAGAAAAATATTGAGTTAAAAAAGTGATGTTTTCCTTTCTGATTTCAATAAATTCTTTATCAATTACTGAGTTACTCTTTCTTAAAGATTAACTTTTTTTTTAAGCTCAAAGAAAGAATGATTACGTTTGTTGTCAAAGATTGTCACATATAAATACAGTTGTTAAAGACAGCTGAACAGTAGCATAAAGTGACAGACAGATTTTGGTGAACAAAATGCATCAACCAAACTATATGTAAAATGTTCATACAGTTCATAACGATGAGACCTTAGGTTTTCTCTCAAAACAGTAAACAATGGTATACCCAGAAAAAAGTTTCAAGTTTATAGTATCAATTTCAGCAGAAAACTACGCTATTTCTTCAAATAGACAACAATTCCAAAGACCATCTGCAACCTTAAAATGATAAAAAATGCTTTAAAAACTTATATATATATATATATATATAT